AACTTACAATTATGAACATATATAGTGATAAAATTATGAACATAGAGCTCTAAAATTGTGAACATAGAGCTTCGAAAATTATGAATGTACAATTATGGAGTTATGAATGTACAGTTATGGAGTTATGAATGTACAGTTATGGAGTTATGAATGTACAGTTATAGAGTTATGAACGTACAGTTATGGAGTTATGAATGTATAGTTATTAACATATAGTAATAAAATTATGAACATATACTCTTACAATGAAGCGGTCTGAAATTAAAAAAAAAAAAAAAAAAAAAAAAAAAGAGAGAGAGAGATAACAGTGCCTAACGGCACTGTTACCCGTGTCCAGCAAGCATGCTGGACACGGATCCAACGCATAACGATTGTGATTTAGTCTATATTAATGTTATCATAATTAATACTCCTTCTATGGCAATTTATATCCTGCACCACGGCACGTGTTGCATTATGCACTCAGATGCAAAACGACGCCATTTCAATTTTATTCTTTTTTTGAAATTTTGCTACCCAGTGTTTGACAGTTAATTTTTCTTAAAAAAAAAAAATCTCATGTTAAAAAATGTACATAATGTTATACTAGAATACACATAATTGTATACATGAATGTACATAATTATATAACAAAATACACTTATACTTTTTTAAAAGATAATACACATAGTCTAACATAATACATAATAAACATAAACTTTTAACATAATACACATCAACTCTTAACATAATACACAAAAATTTCCTGATTCGAATGTACATAATTGTATTAAAAAAAATGTACATACATGTATAAAAAATGTACATAATAAAAAATATACATAATTGTATAAACAAATATACATAATCATGTCAACTTCCTACCGCGCCTCCCAAAACGACGTCGTTCGCGGGGCGCACAGTGCACTGTGCGCCGTGGTGCAGGGTATAACGATGGCCTTCTATCTCATTTTGCATGTCTTGTTTACTATTGAGTATTTATTAGTCAAACTAATTATTTCTTCATTGCTTATTTTATTTAGTAATTTTAATTATTTTTAAATTTATTTTTTTGTGTTTAATAGTATTTTTTAATGTAGTTTCTAAATATATAAATTTTAATATACTAATAATAAACTTAATATTATAAAAAAAAATTGAATTAAAAATAACTTCAATCAAACATCATTAACTAAATCCGACAAATAAAATGGGACGGAGGGACTAATTATATTATGACAAGCAAGGAAAAACAAACAAAGATCAAATTATACCATGAATTAGGGTCTATCTTGCATTATAAACCTTGGTCAAAAATGATTTCCTGATTGTGTCTTCAGTTAACAATTTATGTGCTTGTAAATAAATGAAGGCACATAATGTGTTGTGAACATATTATGTGTCTGCAATTAACATATTATGTGTCTGTAGTTATCGTGTTATGTGTCTGTAGTTAATTGTAGGTACAAAATATGACAACTGCAGAAATATAATTGTTGGATCATGATCTATAATACAAGATACACCATAGTTCATGGTATAACAATTGTGTTTGGCAAATTATGTTGTGGAACCAAGGTGGACACGGTTCTAAAACTGTTCATAATTATGAATATATAATTCAAAAATTATGAACATATAGTTCTATAATTATAAACATAGAGTTATGAACATAATTATGAACATATAATTATGTAATTATGAATATAGAGATTCAATAATTGTGAATATGAAATTCAAAAATTATGAATACATAGCTTTATAATTAAGAACATATAATTCAGTAATTATGAACATATAGTTCTGTAATTGTGAATATAGAGTTCAATAATTATGAATATGAAGTTAAAAAATTATGAATATATAACTTTATAATTATAAACATATATTTCAGTAATTATAAATATAGAAACGTTTTCACTTTACAAAGTGGACATGGTTTCACAACATAACGATTGATATTGTTTAGTTTGCAGTTTTGCACCAGCCATCTATAGTACAAGTGAAAATAGTTTCCCTTAAATAAGGTTTAGAGTCCAATCAAAATTCGAGTTCGAAAGCCGCTATAGTACATATATTAGAAAATGGTTTAGGCCATACTTGGTAAAATAATTAAATTATATGTCAATTTTGACTATTTAATTATTATTAGCTCTTTAACTTGGTTAAAAAATTAATATAAGTATTTGGTTAATTAGTTTTTTATAACTCCAAAATGCTAAAAATTCAAAATGCTACTCAAAGCAACTTTTTCAATTAGCCTTTTGAGAAAAAAAATTATACCAAACAGCTATCAGGTAACAGCCATTTTATCAAATATCGTTCTACAATCACCTAATGTTATCAACTAGTTATACCATTTAATTAACCAAATCAACTAACAGCTAACAGCTAACAACTATCAAGTAATAGCTATTTACCAAACTGGACGTAGTTTGGTTGTATTTGCTTAACGTAGAACCAAACAAATATGCTTCTCATAATAATACTATACTATGATAGTGGTATGCAGCGTAACAAGTTAATTGACTAAGTAACAATACAATTGTCATGCGAAATAAGTTCAGTTGGTTTAACTGATTATCTTTAAAGTTTGGCTCAAATGACCGTGTGGGAGTTTAAATCCTACTAAGAATTTGAGGGTCATTGGAAAACTAACCTTAAGTGATAAGAGACCAGTATAAATTGAAAAACTTAATGTAAAAAAACAAAAACAAAAACAAAAACAAAAATTCAAAAACAAAACAAAACAAACAATACAATACAATTATATACTCCGTATTTTTTTAGTACTGTTAACCCTATCACAATTGTTGAAATCATAATAAAAAGGAGCTATCTCAAAGGTAACTCCATTTGGATTCCTTTATGTATATAAATAATTAAATGCGCATAAATTCAGAAAGGCATAAAAGGCTATACATACACAAATTAATAAAGGTCTAAAGATGTTAAAGTGGGAAAATCCCTTTCCACTTTTTTCATCAAAAATTTTCATAATATACATAATTGGGCTAAGCTAGGGCTTTACATTCTCTCTCTCTCTCTCTCTCTCTCTCCATACTACTTTCACTTTTAAGTAAATAAATAGCAGTAAGGCAGTAAAGCCAATCTTCTCTGTTAGTGTATGTGTAGGCATATGTATATACACATGCCACGCACATTGAGCTTTACAACTCTCCTTGATGTTGCCATGCATCTTTTATGCTGTCCAATGTAGTATATGTACCACAAACTAAACTGGCAAATTATACGATGGACCAGGATTCACATTGTATTATGATTTATGAATTCTGATGACATTTAAATTATGTATTTGCAAGTTAATTAATATGTCTGTAAATAAATTAAAGACATATAATATGTTAACTACGTGCACATAACATGCAATTAACATATTACAAGGCAAGGTGAACCCTAGTCCACAGGATAACAATTGAACTAAACTATGTTGTTGTCTTTTTTTTTTTTTTTTTTTTTTTTTTTATGAAATAATACTAAAGAGTAGAAGCTTGCAAGCATATATATACTGGTTTGTTCTATCTTGGGCCATAAGCATGGCTTTAAAGGATATGCATGTTAATATATGTAAATGAAAGGAAGGATATACAGAATGATTCAGTCTGATCTGCTTTATCTATCTTTATCCAAATTAAAGGTTCTAACATGTAATCCACCACCACATTATATTAAGCTTTTGCAACACTACCTTAGCTTGTTATATATTCATGGGGGTATGTATATCATACATTTTCCACCGACATTATTCATAGGACTTTACTATAAAAGTCGAGCCAATAGAATCGGTATGCCTCTCGGAGCGAATTGGGATTAATCGGGTGGACTTAGAACACCTCGTGATTTACACCAAAAAACATTAGAGTGGACAAATAGCCATAGAAACAATTACCTAGATCTTAAGAAACTCGTTAGTTACAAGGGTGTGCACTAGATAAACTTTGCTCTAGTGTAATAACTTGCAAATTATAAAAGCGAGGTAAATTACACTATGAATATTTTGTGTAACAGGTTCAACTGAGAGAATGTTAGCTTCTTTTCTTGTGTTTATATATGGGAGTTAGGTCACATACACGAATCAATAAACTCATGTGATTTATAGATAGTAATTATTTCTTTAAAATATAATTATCGAGTATCTTGAATATAAATGTATCAATGAATGAGATTTATATTAAATAAAGTTTTAAATCAATCAAGTAAATAAAAATAAGATACATGTATTAAGTAACCATAGAATTATAAAAATATATACTTAATTAACTTGCAAATGGATCTTATATATAGTTTTGAATAAATAACATTATTCTGATCTGCAACTCGATCTAATTTCGGTTTCCAAGCGGTGCAATCTGCAGCCTTGACACATCTGGCAAAGTGAGATTTCCTCTTTATAGGTGAGTCCAAATTGTTCATCATCTCTTGCACTGTGAATCTTGTTGTGGTCCCAAATTCTTGTTTCAGAGATAGTTTTTTTTTTTTTTTTGGAAGGTTTCAGAGATAGTTGTTTGCAGTCCATTTTAGTTCATTCAATAATGTTCTTACTACAAATATGGATAATCTTAATTCTTAAGGTTTCAAGTTGAATTCCCTTTGAGAACGAGCAATATATTGACTTTCTTGGTTTGAGATGGTAAGTTATAGACAGTCTATGCTAGGTTGATTATCATGTTGTGTTCTTTTACCTGTTAAGATTACAAAAGTGACTTCGATCACCCATAATACAATTTTAGATAGTGATTGCGGACTTCAATTCCCATAATTCAAAAAGAAATAATTGGAGATAAATCTTACATATATATGGTAGCTAGAAAACAAAACACTAATTAATAATGTAAAAGAACATGAAATGGTGAATGATAACTAACATTAATGAAATGGTGAATGAATAAAATCCAATAATATCATCACATGAAACCGTACATAACCATCTGCATCTGTGTAAGTAATGAGGGAATCTTGACCTCTTTTCCTCCCTTTCCAGTTTTCCTTTCTTTTTTTTTTTTTTTTCTAAATAAGAAATTAAAGAAAATTAAACAATAAAGAGAGAAGGGCAAGTCGACGTTGATGAATAAAATGGGAAGAAAAAGCAGCCATAAAAAGCAAATGAAGTAGTTGCACTGTGGCCTCAAGATTGCCAATGTCAGAAATGTTGTATACTTATTTACCTGCAAAAAAAGTTTAAAGCTAGTAAAATAAGGAAAAAAAAAAAAAAAAAAAAAAAAAAAGAATCACGTAACATATTCTTATAGAATGATAGAAAGATGCAAAATTAAAGTATCATATTACGTAATAATAATAATTAGTTTAATTACCATTTCCGGTGAATATCCGTCTCATGAAAGTCAAGAAAACGATGAGCAGAGCAACTCCGGCTAACAATCCGATGATAAGGGCAAATGTCTTCTCACTCTCATTATGGGATTCTGCATTACATTATTCCACCCAAAAAAAAAAAATTAGTTAATTTGCATTAACTACCAAATACCAATTTATTAGGTAATTAAACTAGTTTAAGTTGTTGATAGCTGACTGATTCAAACTAAAATAATCAATATGTTAATACTACTGACTTTATTACAATGTAATATCTGTTCATAACTACTAAGACTCAAACCCACAACCTCCCTTATGACAAAGGAACTTAGTGTCATTAGACCACAAGGTCTTTGACTGTAACCTATTTTTTTTTTAGTATCCCTGACTCTGTTAAAGTTAAAGTGTAGTATCTGTACATAATTACTTCAAATATATTAACTAATTGTTTAGTTAAGGGGGTGGATTAGCATTATTACCATGGTTAGATTTGGCGGCATAAGCATGAGCTCCATTAGTGGTGTACCTAGCATAACATTTCCCCAAGAACATGTCCCCAAACAACGCGCCGCCGCACTCCGTCTTGAGGCGGTTGATCGCCTCCGCTATACAACTCTGGCACTTCCCGTTGCTGAGATCACCGACGCACTGCGCCACGCCGTTCACCTCCTGGGACCCACCCACTCTGTACAGCCCTCCGGCCCCACTCATCAGCCCCGCCAGAACGGCGTCGCGGCGGCTCATCATCTCCGCGTCGAACCCGTTCGACGGCCCGCACTTCTTGTACACCACCGTCTTATCCTCCGCCCCGACGAAGCTCGTGTTGTCGTACTTCACGAAACACCCGTTGAGCTGCAGCTCGCCGCCGCAGGTCTGGCGGCAGAGGTCGCCGAGCTGGCTCACCGACCGGGCCACGCAGGTGGCGCAGTCCGGCATGGACAGGTCGCCGCGGCATTGGTAGAGGCCGTTCACCACGTCCGCCTGGCTCGACCCCATCACGCTGTACTTGTTGTAGGACGAGTAGGTGGCCGAGTTGACCAGGGAAGTGAGTAGCGAGTTGAGGTTGGACTCGTAGGGCGAGTCGGAGGAGTACTTTATCCGGGAGCAGCCGCCGTAGAGGAAGCCGTCGACGGAGGAGTCCGAGAGTGTGAGAAGAAGAGAGGAGTGTGAAAAGACAAGAACGCCCATGAAAGAAACAAGAAAATGCAAACTTGATGTGGCCATGATTGAGGTTTTCTTGGGATGTTTGAATGATCGGCAGTCATGCATATATATACAATCACATGTATATATAATAATAATATAATTACATATTCTACTCGACTACTCCAAAGAAAATAATTTGTTAGCATTCTTAATTTGAGTCAATTAGACAAACTAAACTTATTTAATTACTTCTTTATAATCTTTTATGACTATAATTACAACATAAGATTTACTCAGTGCACAACTTTCAGGTTGCAGGTTTTCTTTCATCAATTAATAATCAATAATATAATTATAAATTTATAATACTAACATGCAAATTAAAGCTTTTATGTGAAGAAAGCAAAAGAAAAAGAGAAAAATATAGAAGGGAGTAAGGGACCATTGCATGAGTTATGAGTATGTACCATCCCAATCCTACGTAGTTTATTTTGTTTTGTTTGCGTAGATAAAGCTAGCTGTTGAAATTAATATATTATCTACATATATATATATATATATATATATATATATATATATATATACACATATTATTATGCATGCTTTTTGATAAGTTAGTTGATGGGGTGAGGACCCCGGCCCAAGAAGAGGGGTCCACGAGAGAGGGGCCCAAGAGAAAAAAAGCACAAGATAGAAGATAAGGGTCAGTAAAAGAAGAAGCCCGATGAGGGTCTGGGCCGAGTCCAGGAGTCGGTCCGGACCAAGCAAGGAAGAAGACTCGGCTCAGAGGCCAGAAAGAAGCATTCAAGTCGGTCTAAGAGCCGTTGAAGGAACACTCAATGCGGCATTCAAGAGGACTCGGTCAAAAAGATCGTTAAGAGGCCAAAGAGCCGTTGGTCGACTCGGTAACAGCGACCGAACGGTCTAGTAGTGTAAATAGCCTTGAAAGCAATGATTAATGTACTTCAACTCGGATGGAGGGGAGCCTGCTATATAAAGGCCCCCTCCACACTTGTAAGAGAGGCGAGTTCATGCCCAGACACACACACTTAGAGACTTGATTATCCGTCTTTGCGATCACTTTTTAAGAAAGGTGAATCCACCAACCAAAGGTTGTGTTGGACCTCCTTGGACGGAAAACCCAAAAACCAACATTTATAATAAAGTTTTCTAATTATGGGGCATGGCCCATAATTTGGAACGCACTTAGGTTATTACCTCAGCTAAAATACTTAAACACCAATAATTTTATTATTGTAATATATAACGCACGAAAATTTTTTAACGATAAATATTTCACATTTTGAATATATATTTACATTAAAAATTTGAAACATTTCAGAATCATTTATGTAATTAAAAAAATCTAATAACATTTAGGGGCTCAACTGCTCAAGGCACGTTCCAAAGGATATACAATTAAAAAAAATTAAATGTTAATTCTTATTTCTTGATTGGCCCAGTTACTGTATGCAAAGGTTACGATTACTTTTACATTATAGCTTTATTGGAAATTATGTCTTGTTATTATCACAATCAATGGCAAACCCACAATATGTTAAGTGAATTTAATTTGACGTTGTTAAAATTTTGCTTAGTTATTATATAAATATATTATATGTCGATAAGATTAATTGGTACGGGTGCAAGTCAAAACTCAAATTGGATGTGTGCAACTAGCGATGGCAATTGGGGTAAGGGACATAGAGTATACTCATGTTCCTATTTCAAAAAATTTCTTATATTATCCCTAGTCAAAGTGTATAATTAGTACTATTTTCACGAGCAACTTGATACCAGTGGACTACAAGATTTTTTATTAACAATAATATAGAGTAAATACCGGCGGAGGTCCTCTGACTTTGGTGGCACTGTCACTTTTAGTCCTCAACTTTTAAATCAACCACTTTTAGTCCTCTTACTTTTTGTTTCTAGCCATTTATGGTCCTTTCGTTAAACTTGACCATCTAATACCGTTTTCTAAAGGATAATTCAGTCATTTCATAATTAAATTATTAATTATTATGTTTAATTTCCTCGTCAGAATAATCAAACAATGGTTTCCCAGCTATGAACGTGTACAAAACCAGCTCGTGAATCAAAATGGCGTACAAAAGCTGGTACGAAGGTTGTGCCAAAACGACATCGGGATATCTCAGTATGACTCGGCAAACATAATAATTAATAAATTAATTATGAAAGGACTGAATTATCCTTGAGAAAACGGCATTAGATGGTCAAGTTTAACGGAAGGACCATAGATGGCTAGAAACAAAAAGTAAGAGGACTAAGAGTGGTTGATTTAAAAATTGAGGACTAAAAGTGGCAGTACCACCAAAGTCAGAGAACCTCCGTTGATATTTACTCCAAAATTATATTATATATCATGGATGGGGTACCCGTCGTGGAAGGAAAAATTATCATTTGAAAGTGCAACTAAAGTCAATTTTGTTACATAATCTATTTAAATATTTAATAAATGACATTATTTTATTTTTTTGAAGGAAAAATGACATTATTTTTTGTAAAGCTAAAAAGACCAAAGAAGTCAAGGAGGCCAAAGTGAATAAAAAGAATCCAAAGTTCTCAAAGCCACAACATAACTTCACTGATCTTTTGAAATCTTAACCAAATCATCTAATGTCCACTCAAGGTAAAAGAAAAGCATGATACAATTTATACAAAGTTGAAAGGCATTACATTATCACAAATCAAGTTCTCTACATTCAGAGCAAGAATAAGGCAGTAATTAAGTGCACTTTAAAAGGTTTCTGCATGCTTACAGAGATCTCAAATTCTCAATGCTTAACAAATTTACGTTTCAACCTTACAAAATTTACATCTACTCACTGAGAAAGTAAGTCCTCATAAGAAATATCATCTTGAACTTGCCAGCTTAGTGGGTATTTATACTAAATTGAAAGCAAACAGCATTTGCCTAAACTATATCCCTAGTCGGATGAATCCTGTAACATATGACTAATCAAACGCATCAGAATCATCATCGTTGGATGTCACCTCTGAACCTTCATCTTCATCTTCACCTTCCTCATCGATCTTAAGTGTTCTATTGGCAGTCATCTTGGACAATGCCACTGTCTTACTAGCCCTCTGTGACCGAGTGCTCATTGCACCAGGGTTAGCAGGAACGGCAGACGAGGGTGAGAACTCCTCGTCTGAGGAAGATTCTTCCACGTTCCTCACTCTTCTCCTGCCACGGCTTGGTCTAGTTGATTTTGGTGCTGGAGTAGGTGGCACTTCCATGGAGATGTCCTCATCAAATGTTACTTCAACCTCTAGCTTCCCTGTGTTATCAACATTTTACAGATTTAAGAATTGTGTTGAGCATAAAATGTATAAATAATAAATGTGAAATTTCACTATAAATTAAAAGATTTAGTTTCTTTTAGTTGAGACTGAACACATTCTTTAAGAATACAACAGCCATCAAGATTGTACCCACAACAGAGAAAGAGCATATAGCAGCAAAGAACTCAAATACAAGACTTTCCAACATCTAAACTGACAGACCATTGCATACAATTTACACCCTGAAAAGATTTGTCACTAATAAAAGAATGTTATTACCTAAAATAAGATTAGCCTGATCAGAAGACAATTTCTGATCTGGATGTCTGTCTAAAGCCTGTAGCCTTTCAGCCATCTGTTTCAAATCCTTCAAGGGCTCCTTCTCAGCTGCTACAGATTCAAAGATAAGGTTTAATAGCTGCCGCATTAACTTAACAGCCTCTTGTTCTGATGACCTAAAATGGAGCAAGACTAGCGTCTTGCAGAGTGCAGATGTATATGATTTCTCAGCAGCTGTCTTCTTGCCACGGAAGCTAGTTACCTTAGAACCAAAAAATAATAAATATTATAGACAAAAATTACAATAGCATTTCAACATGATTGCAATATATCATATAAAAGTTCATCTGCAAGCTAGTGAGCCATCTCTGTAATTGTCAGGCCAATTCAACAGACTTAAGTAACCAGGCCAGGTTCCAACAGAGAATAATTTTGTTGAAACTTCTTTTTAGACTTGAAGGCAATTCTCATATCACGAGTTCTAAAACACTAAACCATTTCACATTATAGCATTTGATGAACCAAACATGTAATAAGCCTCTTCTTAAGCCATTATAGATAATTAGATATAAAGAACCTTTCATATAACTATTAGCAACATTCATGTGTTGGAAGAGAGTAATGATGCAATATGAATTGAGCAGCATCGAAACAAAAATAGAACATGATAACTCATTTAATACTATTCACCTCAGCACCAATTCGTATTGCAAGCCCTTCTTCTCCACTCTCATACTCTGAGGAAGGATCCACTGAATCATCTAGGTTTTTCGTGCCATCTTCATTGGAAGGTGCAGTCCCCTTTTTGTAAATGGGAGCTTGCATCATCTGCACCATGAAAAGTGATGCTTGCACAGCACGTTTGCGCATGTTAGATACTATTACTGGAGACCCTGCAGCATTTCCATTGATGCCTGGCCACATAGAGCGCATAACTGGCACAAAAGCCTTGGATAAGCACATCTGCATTTACAAAGTAAGAATCCCCATTAATCACAGAATTATAATCACTCAAAAGCATTTCTACAATTATTTGAAATCATTTATTTACTTAGAAGTAAATGATGCACACCTTGTGATTCACTGAGAGGGATGGATAGTGCTCAAAGAATACAGATAAACACTGTTTCAACCTATCAAGTAAACCTGTAATTAGATGAATTTGAACTATTAAACTAGTAAAATTAGTTGTGAAGCACTTTACCTCTGAAATTCTTTGCACTCACTAAAAAAGTACAAGCCAATTAGTTTGGCAAATAGTACAGGATGTGACAAAGCAGGTAGGCCTGAATACTTCTCACTAAGAAGAAGAATCTTTGCAAATCCCTCTCCAAGAATGGACTTAACTGACTCATTGTCATTACTCTCTACACAATCATCCCAGTCATTCTTTTGAAGTCCATTATATAAAAGATCAAGCAATTCTATCTCAAAATCCTCTCTTCCATCACAGAGTTCAATTGGTGTAAAAACCATGGAATGATCACGGAGTTGTGAAGACAAAGGTTCATTCATGGCTTTATCTACTTCATTAGGACCATGCCACATTGCAAGATCAATCAAAGCCTTAGAAGCCATAATAGTAACTGGAGAAGGGCCTTTAACAAAAGAGCGCCTTAAATGTTTTACTAAATCATCACTAAGCCTCCTTTCCAAAAGACCAAAAAGACCTAGACACCTCGTGGCAGCCCTCTGAACATCCAAATGGACATGTTTTACCTGTATTTCAGAATAATACCACATGTCACAATTTGTCACTTAAACAGTTAAACAGAAGATAAAACAAGAACAGGGATGAAAGAATGAAAAATGATGGTGAAAAACAAACTAAACTCAGTATCACTTTGCCCATATACATACCCCAGGAAGCAAAACAGAATGCAAAATCTCTAGAGGTTCTATGGCCTTCCCCTGCATCCAACGAAATGACTGTGCGTTTTCCAAGAGAAGGCTAATCACAGCAAGACAGTGAAGCCATTGCATACAATTTGCTGTCCTTTCCCTGCAAGGTCGAGCAAGTTCTTCTATAACCCCTACAACCACTTCTTCAAATTCTCCTGGTGTAGCATGCACTTTCCTTGCCAGTTCTGACACAGCAACAGCCCAATCCTTGTCCCCACCTAAATTGATACCATCTCCTATAACCACCTCATTTTCATGCTCATCCAGTTCATAATCAAGGGGTTTGTGCAGCAACTCCTGCAAAAATTCACCAGCAACCCTTCTGTTTGAAGCATCAGAATAGTCAAGCATTGCACCAAGCAATAGTAATTGCCGAGATGCAAAGCGATAATTTGGGCCTGTAAAACCAGATGGCATTAGATAATGTCAAAATGGAATAACATGAAAGAATGAAGAAAGGCAGGAACAGGCAAAACACACCAGCATCTATATGAGCTTTAACCAATTCCACATAATCACTGACAGTAGCAGGTAGAACTTGGTCAAGAAGATCATTACTGTCTGAAGCTTCTGCTGCATAGACAGCAGATTCAGTGCCTGTTTTCATTGCAGCATCAGAGCCCTTCACCTATTTGGTCATATTGAAAATTCCTTACTTTACTGGAATATTGAACAAGTTTTTGAAAAATCATTTAAATACAACAGATGAAGCTCTAGATCTCTTTCAGAACATAAAACTACAAAGAGGTAATCCTCCTTATCTAAATGACATTTTACTAACCTCAAGTTAGTATGCTCTAATCACAGTTATTTTATATAATTATTTCGCAAAATAATAATCACTTGCAAGTGATTCAGTTCAATTTGAACAAGAAGCATGCAACAAAGACATAGTACCATCTGCAACATGATACATATTATGTATGCTCTAATCACAGTTATTTTATATAATTATTTCGCAAAATAATAATCATTTGCAAGTGATTCAGTTCAATTTGAACAAGAAGCATGCAACAAAGATTTAGAAATTCATTAGTAGGTGTTTGTTATGGAAGGGAGAGAATAATTATGTGGATTGTGGAACACAGTTTGTAGGTATCTAAAGAAATTGTAGCAAATACTAATACTCACAAAGAACTCTAGCTAAAAAGTATAGTTATAGTCGAGCAATGTATTTTTTTCAAGTAGGGCTCTAACTTTCAAACAAAATGAAGGGAAGTAATGCAATGATCAAGATACCCACTTGTGCTTCCACCTGCAGGTTCTTACAGAAGGTTCTCCAAAAAAATGCAACCTCTGCTTCCATTACTTGGACAGTGCAGTTGCATTGTCCTGTGTACAAGAAAGAATTGAATATATTATTGATTGTATTCTCAAATAACATGCAGAGCATATATATATATACACACATAGAGGTCAAATGGGCTCAACCCGTTCTTGTAGGGTTACATTATACACTTAAACTCTCTGTAAAGTTGGAGCATAGATATTAATCATGCCAAACATGTTATGTGAAAGAATAGAATATATGATTGATTGTATTCGCAAATAACATGTATAGTGTATATACACACATAGAGGTAGATGTGGGCTCCGCCCATTCTCATATTGCTACACTATACACTTAACATCCTGGTACGAAGATACAAAACCAATCAATATGACAATATGTTCTATGCCACAAGGACAAAGTTTTGGCTAATGAGAAACAACAACAGAAGAGATGAAACACGACCACAAAATCTTAACTTTCATACTTGATAAACTTGTCTTTCTCTAGTAATTTGCTATTGATAGTTCCACGTTGAGCACATATACAACTAACAAAAATGATATCAAGTTATCAACAACAGGAAACACAACAAAGATGTAGCACACAGCTGAAAGGACAGTATACGAAGTGTCAAAGTGTGTCAGGAGACATTTAAATATATATATATATATATATATATATATATATATATATATAGTTGTAGAGATTTTAATGCACCTTCTCTACGTTTTACATTCACTAACTAGCCATAAAAATTTTCAAATAGAATGGCCTTTTAGATAACAACTTGGGTTTTTTTTATTCTGCAGACATGCAAGTAGTGAGCTACTAATTGAACTAGTCATTCTCAATCTTACATCAACAGCTTAACAAATATTACATCAGAAGGAGGTGGAATTTAAAAAGGTAAAGTTAGTTAGTGCATATAGGGGTTTTTTGTTAACATACATATGGAATTGATCTCAAGACCTCATAATGAGAATTTAAAACCTATGCCACCGAACTGCAAGGTCCTTAATCATATAGGGGCTTTCACTAAAGTATTCTGAATGCTAGATGTCCAGATGTAGTCTATAATTCCCTCTGAAAGCAGTAATAAAACTCATATCCCGAGAAATTATGGTACAGTCTCACGATAATGCAAAGGCATAACATACTAGTCAAAGTGCAAATGTGCAATAAAAAAAATCCATCTGAACATAACTCTAACCTTCAGCAGAGTCACTAGTTGATGTAAAGAACTGCCTAATACTTTGACCATCTTGCAATTTCACCAGTCCTGCTTTTAACAAAGTGCTCATTACTGACTCTCCAACTGACTCATAGGTTTCAACATCAAGAAATTTTAAAAGTTTTATTGGGTCATCATTGCAACATTTGGCAAGCCATTCATCTTTCATCAATTTAATGCACTCCTTCATGACAGACGAGGAGCGATCTGCCAACCCCCTCTGCAAGATAGTTGTCCTAAGTTTGATGCTGCAGAATTTATTGCACAGAAAAACACATCAGGTTCCGAATGAATAGAAAGAACACATTGCCTTTTACTTATCCACAACTGCAGACGGCTAGATATGTATACTTCCAGGCTTAGGTAGTCATTTTATGAGATGAAGAATAAGTAGAGTGGGTAATCAAGAAAGGAAATTAACTATTTGGAGAAAATCTCAACACATTTACATCACATGCAAAGAGGATCAACTAATTCTTGCACAGGGTATAAACAGTGATGCATGATAGTTTAAATTATATGTCTAGCAGGCAGCTTTCTTATTTTTCTAGATATGTATATTCTTTTGGTTCAATATATCATGAACTAAAGGCACTAACCACAGTTGTTTTATATTCTACATAGTTGGTTAGAAATCAAGGTTTTGGAATCTTAGTGATCAATCTAATGTGATGTTCCATGTTCATGAAATGTCAGCAGTTACCTGATGCTCCACAGGCAATTACCAAGTGCACACATGACAATAAGAAGAATGAGAAAAGAGACAAAAAGTCAAAAGTTACCTGAGGCTCTGTAGGGGAAACTTACTAGCAAGCACACAATAAGCTGCTTTACGTACAGATTCACTCACATCCAAGGTGCAGTCAATTACTGTAGTAGCAGTGGAGTGCGAAGGCGGAAGAGAAAGCACAATTGTCTTACGAACATCCTGCATAAATTCCCCAAACTCAGGAACTACAACAGGAGGTTCACTTCCTTTAAAATAAAGAATAACATAATAAGCAAAAGGATACTAGATTCCCCTATTGCATTTACCCTTTTCTTACAGGAACTAAAAGTGTTAATATATTTAACCGGTATTGCAAACATGTTTGCTAAATATCATGAAAATATTTTAAATTTGTTAGTAACGTACAATGGAGAAAAATAATCAAGCTGAATGTATTATATTTTCACCTATGTTAAGAGTCCCCACATTGATAAAATAAGAGAGAACATATGGGTTTATAGGCCATGGGTTAGATTAGCTAATTGATTGGATCAATTATTTAGTGTGGTTTGGGCGTTTGGCCCATTAACATTATAGCCTTGAGGAACCTTGATCGAATAAAAGCACAGAAAACAAATACACCATAATTATATAATAAACTGACCACATTCTGCTCAAGGGGTAATGTCTGCATGAATAACTCTAGAACATCACTATTTTCTGAATCATTCACAAAGCGTGAAAGAGCCCTGATAGCAAATGTTCGCACAGCAGGGACCTTATCACCAACACGCAACTTCATTCCATCTATCGCCTCATCCCAAAGTTCATTGCTAACTTCAGTGTCATCCGGCAGCCGCATTATGATCTAGAAAAGTAAACAACACATACAGATAAATAAAATGAAGAAGAAAGAGAAGTACATTCATTTCAAGAATTCAAGCAGCAACAGAGGGAAGGGATAAAGAGTGTGCATGTAAGGTCAATATTGTCAGAATTTAATTGGAACCTACTGAAGACTAAAACTAAAACAACTTGCAAGTCCAGTAAATCCACCTATGATACCAGCAATGCTCAAAATCTACAATTCAAGTGTCTACTTACAATACAGCAGGAGTAAGCAAGAATAATATATTAAGTTATTTGCCTTGCCATCTCCAATGAAGGCACCAAAACACCATTTTGGTGTAAAAATTTGGTGCAACCTTGCTCCAAGGAAGACACCAAATTTTACACCAAAATGGTGTAAGTGAATAGTGTTACACCAAATATGGTGTAATACTATTCCTTTACACCATTTTGGTGTGGAACTTTTTAAATTCTTTTTGCTAATTGTTTCCTTTTAAAATTTTATATTATTAGAAATAAATTATAAAGATTTAAAGATCTCATTGAGACATTTAAAACAAGATCAATATCAACTATGAAATAATTAAAAATTGAAATACATAAAAACATAAATTTCATTTTAAAATATTATTATTTAATTATTTATTATTATTTATATTAAAATAATTAAAATAAGCGAAATTAAAAGTTTTAAATTATAAGAATACAAATTATTTTAGTGTATGAATAGAATTTGGTGTAAATGGATTGAAGATGAAATAAAATTTGGTGTAAATGGGTTGGAGATGAAAAAATTTGGTGTAAAAATATGCTAAGAATATTTCTTTTGGTGTAAAATTTAGTGCAGAATTTGATATTTTGGGTTGGGGATGGTCTTAGCTGATTATGAGCAAAAATAGTAGCATACTCATTAGACACTAAAAGCATGAAGTGATGAAGATTAACTAATGCACAGGTATAGTGCACAGTAAAATTCAGAAAAAGATAGAGAACTTTTTTATTTCTTCCTGTAACTCATTTCTCTAATTCAACTACTCAAAGCCAGGTACTCTGGTTATAGTTTTATCCAATTCTGAACGAAAACAATACAAAATGCATGTCAAATAAATGATCGCATTCATAAAATTGCATAAAAGAGTTATAAATCTTCATAATGTCAAAGACTATTTTCGTGCCATTTTCTCATATTACCTCAGAAATGATCTGACAAGCTCTGATTCTCGCCGTCCTGTTGGCTGCCACCGCAGCCACGAGCAAAAACCTAAGGAACTGCTCGAGAAACGCATCACTGTGGGAGGCATTCTTCGAGTCCCGTTCACCCGCAAAGATCGCGACGAATCGGATAATTCTCTCCGCGGAGGAAGTACGGCGTTGGAAGTCAAAAAGTGGAGTCAACGCTGTGCAGAAAGCCGCAAAGAACTTCTCCGAGGATACAGATGAGCGGGAACGGAGAGCGGAGAGCTCCTTGAGCTTCCGGAGGTGGGTAGCATGGGACGACCTGACCTCATCCAAAACCCTAGCTATTTTTTGAGTTAATTCAAGCTGCTGCTCGACTTCTTCTACTCCTCCTCCGCCGCCGCCGTTGTTGAGGAGGGCCGGCATCGTGGATTGATCTTTGAAGTATTTTTACGGCTAGTTTCAGTGTTGGTTTGTGATGGAGATGAGGACAGAAGGTGATTGTTGTTTGAATTTGGGAAATTTTGCTAAAATTCTATTTTCCCCGATTTTGAAATGAAAATTGATTTTTGAATTTCGAGCGGGAAAACATTAAATGATGATGGGCCATTTTCCATTTGGGCTTCATATCTGGTAGACTCTTCTGGACGGCCAAATTATGGCCTCATTTGATTATCAATTGATCTAATTCCGTCAATTTTTGGAGAGTTTTATCATCTTTAACAATTTGGTTGAGTCAAACTACTAAATAAGTGGATGTTTGGTAAATAGTTGTTAGTTGATTGAGTTAGTGGATTTAAGTATTTGACTAGTTGATAGTATTAGCTGATTATAGAAAAGTATTTAGCAAATTAGTTGATAATTAATTACATACAAAATGATTTTCTCAAAAAATTGATCGAAAAAAACTACTTTGAATAGTTTTTTGAATTTTAGTGTTTTGAAATAATAAGATGTTACAAAAAGTTAATTAATCAAACAATTATATTGATTGTTTAACTAAGTTAAATAGTCAATAATGAACAAACAAATTAAAATTGGTTGATATGCTAACTATTTTACCAAGTAGAGCCAATATAAATATAGTAATTAGATATTAAAAAACAACTATTTGTCAAACACCCCCTTAACCAAATTTTAGTATGTAACGTTATATATTTTTTTTATTGCAAAGGAGGCTCATACCCTTCACCTCTAACATAGGAAAGCAACCGGTACTATTGAACCACAAAGACTTTCGTGTTGACAACGTTATCTATAGTATGCCTTTTCACTAACTTTGTCAAATATTAACAAAAAAAGGGAAAAATACAAGGAAAACAAATTGGGGACCATACGTCCAAAATAGGCATTTATTGTACATATTCTTTCTCACAATGCTTTTTTTTTTTTTTCTTTGCATCATCAAAAGGTTTTTGCTTTTGCCATTTCTTGGCCGCCTTCCGATAACATTAACATTTATGATTGGGGACCAAAAGTCTAAAATAGGCATTTTTTGTTTTATTCATCCTTTATATAATAAAGTTATATGATTTGGGAAATAATTAATGTTACAATTAATGCCCCAACATCCTTTATTATATAAAAAAAAAACACAACATTTAAAAAATAAAATAGCTATATATTATATAATCATATAAAAAATACTTTTGAAAAATAAAATAGCTACATATTATATAATCATATAAAAAATATGTTCAATTAGAGTTTAAATTTACACATACAAAATTTGAAATTTGCTTTCCAAATGGAATTATCTTAGTTATTATTTGTATTGTGAAAATTATAATATAGATGAAATACAATTAAGAATAAATCAATGTAATTATGTAAATTATCTCTATAAGTTTATTTGAATATGCACATAATTAGAGATTATATTAACCATACAAAATTTTAATTTTAATTTTAATTTTAATTGTAATTTTGTATTCTATAAAAATAATAAATACTTGACCAATGGAAGCTCAAAAATATTATTATATTAAATAATTTAAAATATTTTAATTTTTTTATTTTTTATTTATATTTATAATAACATAATTTTTTTCCGTGCATCGCGCGGGTGAATTACTAGTTTTTTAAACAGAGGGAGGGGAAACTATTTTACTCATTTGATTATTGTCAAAGTACTTTTAGGTTTACATATATATAAACTTCAATAATAAATTAATTTTAAGAATTATTGTTGTGGTTGTTGTTGTTCATATATTTGAAAAATAAAAGACCCCACCTTCATGTTTTTATTATTTGTTGAAAATGAAAATGAAACATGTAGCAATTAGAGGATGATCATCTCATCTGTCTTTAAATATTGTTAAAATTTATATCTTTATACTTTGACCACTACTTACATCACTCTCGCGAACTTTATCCCTAACCATGACCGCATGACATTGAATTACTAAAGGACTAAAGGAGACGCCAAGCACCTTGTTCTCATATGATATGTAATAACATCTTTTATGTATAAGGTTATGAGATCGAGCATCAATGAGGCATAAAGTCAGTAGCATTAAAAAAGAAAAAAAAGAAAAAAAAAAACTAAAAGAGACGATATGATAATTTTATTTACCCTCCAATATCATATAAGTGTCGTCAAAAATTACATCAATCTCTTACTTCTCATATGAGAAATAATGTGAAATGTTATTAGAATTCAAATGTCTCGAACTAATAATAATATTCATATATATATATATATATATATATATATATATATATACTTTGATCAATCACCACTTGTAGCACTCACACCAACCTATAACAATAGCCATTAGATTATTAAGGCAGAATTTAAAGTAACATTTGAATTTGTAGCGTTTAGTCAAACGATAATTTATTAAACATTTATTTTAGAGATTTAGTTTGGTTAATTTGCTAAAATTCTACTCAATTATTTTTACTCCATAATATAACAAACAATAATATGATATTTTCATTATGTGAAATTCAGAAAAAGTGTATACATAAAAAAAAAATGTTAGTCAAAATAAAAAATAAAATTCCATATAATATTTTTTTTTATAAAATTAATTCAATAATTACTTAGTTAAGTTATGGCCTTACAGAATACTAGAAGTACAAACAAATCAAACCAAGAATATTTTAAATTTTCAACTGTAAAATTCTTGGTCAGTTTCAACATGACCTGCATGTTGAGTATATAATATATAAACTTTGCAATTCAATTATCAATTTAGACTTTTAGTTGAGATGGAGCACATGCTTCAATTTGATATTAAAACTAACTCCATGACATTTAGACTACGGTTCATGTGTTGTTTGAGGCCCATAAAAAAGTAATCCATCTATACAATGAGAGGATTGTGACTTTTGAGTGGATAAACTTGAAAGTGCATCACATGTACATTATTCCCATTTTCTATCTGAATGTGTAAATCATACTAAAGTTGTATAACACGAATTTCCCATATCATACTTTACTTCCTTTTAGTCATAATTTACGCTATAAGTATGATTTATCAAATACCCGTAAATTAATCTCTAACTTATATTATTAATACTCTTGTGTAATAATTTGTAAATTAAAAAATTATGTTAAAATAATCTATGAAATGAACTTGATAAAAAAACATTAATAAAAATTAAAGTTGTGATTTTTTAAGAGGAAACTTATGTTCTACTTCCTTTTAGTTGCAATCCACTTATTTTGTCCCTATAACAAGTAACACCATCTTACTCTATGCAGATGCAGTGTATGTAGGTGTCAGATATTCGATACTGGAATAATTGTTGAGCAACACTAATCCGGTGCAGTGCAGATAGCAGAAGATCGAATAATAATTTTTTATCTAGAAAATAATTACTTCTGCTTTTTGAAATAATATTTTAAAATCATAGCCTAATTTCACGACATAATATTTAAAAATGAAAAGGCACATATCGATCACTCTATGAACAATTTTTTATTTTTATGTACTTTTACCACCAGACACAATGAGTAATCTTCTTGTTGAATTGTATGCATCTCTAATAAATGGAATAGAGGGTTTGGAGATCAAAGTATATTATCAATAATCTAAAAATAAAAATTGTGAGATTAACAATGGAGTATTTAATTATAGCAACGGGAATCAAGCTTCTAATATTTTGAACCAAATCAACAGTTTTTACTAACTCAATTAGCGTAAATAGCTCCATATATACTTCTCTATGAATATGTACCGAGTAAATGGAGTATGATTCTCATACTTTAAAAGTCATAAGTTCAATTCTTACCAAAGTACATCTTTTTAGTCCAACTCGTCATACATGATTTTTATAGTGTAGTTTCCCGTCACCCCAAAAAACATGCACAATACATACCAAGTTGAAAACTAAAGAATGAGCTTATTTAGAAATGATATTCATATTAACTCTTTGTATAGTATTTGTGTTTGTTGTTGGGCGGAGGATTGGTGCTTGGGAAGATTTTTGGGCAGAGGCCGGTGAAGTGTCAAATCGAGCAATTTCTCTCTCGAAAATGTGATGACTTATATCATGTATATATATAAAGAAATAAAGTGTGCATTCACTACGAGTTATAACTTTTGATATATATTGATACTTAATCAATTGATCTGAACATTTATTGGCATGACTAGAAATCGAATTATATATGTTAATATTGTTGAGAACCATGTTATCCGCAACAAAATGTAGAAGCTAGCTAAGAAGCATATGTTCCAAATGATGCTCAACCAATCAAGCATTACAGTACACCCAATTTGATTGATGGCATTATTGTTATCATCAAAGTTTGGGGACGATATGATTATGGTTTGTTGGCTGAGAAATAATATAACAAAAGCTAGGCTGCTATTTCTGGGTACATAATAAGGCATCAGATGCCGTCTCGATATGAAATGGAATTGGCAATATAATCTCCAATGGAGTAGTGGACTGACAGATTTAGCACCACCCGACGTGGCCATGTGAAACTTTTGACGTTGGAGATAACAAAACAGTTTTGGTTCTCTAGTTTTGCACTGTCGTCCGTCCTATAAATTTGTAAAAAGCAAAAGTATGTAGGACTACATGCGATGGTTATATGTGTTTAACTTTTTTTTTTTTTTTTAGGTAACTCTGTTACAATGTAGTATCTGTCCACACATACTTTCTTAATTTAATAATGAAGCACAAAGAGTTACTTTCTTTAGTCCTTAGTGTTCGAACCTAGAAAAAGGTTATGCCGCTTGATCATGAAGTTTTTTTATTTGTTCTGTGTAGTCACAGTGAAAATACGCAATCATTATTCGAGTATATGTAATGGGTAAATCATACCATGTGATCCTAGCTAGTTAGTCGGCAAAGGGCCACCAACCTAACTAGCAGGTAATTCATAATTTATCGATTCAAATCAATAAAAACCAATAGGTAATTCATTCATAAGAGTTGACTTATAACACTGTGATTACCAAGTCAACTTGGTTGAGTTGCCCTTTTATTCTTACTTTTATACTTGGTCATCACTTGGTGTTTAAGATTTGTGGTCCAACATAATTACATAGTTACGTTGCTGAA